ATTTCTAACGCAATAGTATGATTCAGATCCCCCAAATAAGAAGACTCACTTTTGAGATGGTGTTTGAGGGATGACTCAGCTTTCATTCAGGGTTAAGGATAAGACTTAAAGTGTTCCATTACATTTCCTTTGGGGGATCTTTCCCCTATTTCGCTTATATTGAAGATTTAGAAGCTGTACGCTACCCAGGGGCCAACTACCCAAATCCCTCTCCTTCCCTTTAGCTTTGTATCTAGACCGTCTGCACAGAGGTACAACTAGAGCTCCTCGTATCACAGGAATGCATGTCAGCATTTTCCCCTTGGGAAAAGAAGCCATAACTTTTGAGTCATCTTAGCCACGTATTTTAAAAAATAAATTAATAGTGTCCAGCGTTTTATGTGATAATGGGAAGTATTTTTGTTACTTTTTGACATGACAAATTTAATGCACTCTATGGGCCAGAGAGAAATCAGACTCACTCCTTTAATTCCTTGTTAAGGCTATCATGTCAACTTTGACTCACAGTGACCACAAGTGACAGAGCAGAGCTATCTCAGTTTTCTTTCTGGAATCTTTATAGGAGTCAGGTGTCTGCCCTGTGGAGCTGCTGGTTGGATTCAAACCAACAACCTTTTGGTTAGCAGCTGAGTGCAGAACTGGTGTTGATACTTCAGCATTTATTAATTAGAAGGGTTCTGCTTTCTTAAATTCTTCCCCACTCCCCCTTTTTAAAGTAGGGCCAGACCCCAAGTCCTTGTTATTAGTCATTGCGATGAGCATTTAGAACATTAAGAGGCAGACATCACAGGATTTCTCTTTCCTTATTAAATAAAGCCTAAGTGATCATTAGACACAGTACCTTCTCTGGAACTTTTTGATGATAGAATTTTTCCCTTACCAATCTAAGAAGAGTTCATAAGATGTCTATTTTTCAGTCAAGCACCTGTCAACATTATTTGGTCAGTGCTTCTATACCTTGAGGACTTTTGATACTTAATATTATTGACAATGGTGACATAAACAATTACAATTTTATTTTTCTCATACGTAAGAAACTCCCTCAATATTCTAACAAAGATTTTACAACACAAGCAAGTAAAACGTCTCAAAATGCAAAATAAAAGGACTATAGTGCATTCTAGTCTTTGTTCTGTACCAGTTTAACTTAAATGACCACATGGGAATAAAGTAATCTAACTTCTTGCTGTATCAAGGTCTCCTAATGATAGTGTGACAAGTCTAAGAAGCTTCATTGATAGCAAATGGCCCCAAAGGTTACTGGTTAACTTCTTTGGACTGTCCTAGAGTCCCTGGTCTAGCTTAACCAGAAAGCAGGAGCACGACATTGAGCTTAAAACCCAATGTTCAAAAAAAACAACAACAAAAAACAATGTTCTACTGCTTCTGAGAGATTGCTATCTGGAGCTTTTGTGGCTCAGTGGGATCAACTAGCAAAATGCTTTTAAAGTAGGCACCTAAAAATTATTGTTAAAAGGAAACTGGAGTTGTGACTTGGTAAATAAAGTGCCTGAAGTATTTTTCTTTATGAGAATAATTAGATTTTTAAAAAATTATTAAAAGATCATTTTATTGGGTTTTCTTACAGCTATTACAATCCATACATCAATTATATCAGGCATATTTGTACATACGTTGCCATTCTTCTTTTCTAGACATTTACTTTCTATTGATCCCTTGGAATCAGCTCGTTTCCCTCCACCGCCACCCTAGTGACCCCTTGATAGATTAGAAATTATTATTTTCATCTCTCACACTGACCATGGTCTCCCTTCCCCCATGTTTCTGTTGTTTTCCCCCTGGAGGGGTGTGTGTGGTTGTGTCAATCATTGCTATCAGTTCCCCCTTCCTCCCCACCTCTCCCCTACCCTTCTGGTACTGCTATTGCCATTGCTGTTCCTGGATTCCGTATGTTGTGAGCTCTTATCCCTTATCTATACCTGTGTACGTGCTCTAGTCTAGTCCGAAGTAAGAAACAGCACTGGGGTCATGATGGTGGGGGTGAGGAAGCCTCATGGAACCAGAATAATGTGTTTCATTGGTGCTTTACTGTGCCCTGGTTGACGCATCCTTCCCTGTGACCCCTCTGTTGAGGGATGTTCCATTGTCTACAGATAGGCTTTGGGTCTCTGCTCCAACCCCCCTCATTCTCAACAATATGTTTTTGTTTGCTTGTTATGGGTTTTCTGATGCCTGTTACCCGGTCCCGATGACACTTCATGATCTCACCGGTTGGTGTGTGTATTAGACAGGGTTCTCTAGAGAGACAAAACCAAATTGCTGATAATTTAGTATATTTATTTATAAAGATAATTAGATATATAACAAGAAATGAACTGTTAAATCATATACAGATATATAATACAAGAAATAAATAGATAAATAAAATAAAGCACTACAAATGGCTCAGTGCAACTCACGTCCGTGAGAGAGAGTTGTGAGAGACTAGCAGTCCTTCAAATCTAGTCTGCTGCCAGATCTTCCTCTATTTGTAGAGAGAGCTAGGCTATGTCAGCACAGCAGCCAATCACAAGGCAGGTCACCAACTGCCAGTTCCCAGCTCCAGAGATGTCTTAAAGGGACCTCAACTTACAGCGACACAGTCCACAGGCTAGACGACGTCCCACAGGTAGTGTAGCCTTTAAATTGAGGCACAGAACAAGCAAGGCAGCCACACACTGGTCCGATGACCACAGAGCGAGAGACAAGAAAGGCGAGGCTCACCAAGCCATTTATCTCTCTGCCCTTCAGTTAATCCCACTTGTGTTTATCAGCCAGGCTGGCACAATAAACTATCTCAATCCAACCCTTGCCAACCTGGGACCTGTACACAATTCTTTAGCCATATATACATATATAATTTATGGACATTGATGAAATCACACTTATACTTATCATCATCTATTATACATATAAATGAAAACATAGTCCAATTATATCTATCATACCTGAATGAAGGAAAGATATGCAATAAACACATAAAAATAAAATACATTGACAATTATAAACCTCGCTTTTGCAATTGATCACGTGGTCGTAATTGATAGGTAGAACTACCTTCTACTACTACCCATTCTGTATTCTTTGCCCTCAGCAAGCACCTCAGCTGGCTGTGGTTTTTTACCTGGTGGGTTGACCCAGACCTTCATTCCTGAGGGGTCTAGGTCATTATAAGTCGTCAGTATTAGGTTGCAGTAATTTACCATTTACTTTGATCACAGGGCATGGTAGCACTAAGAATTGGCCTATGGGATCTCCTGGATTCCAGACATAGTCTTCTTTACCTCCATTATGTAACACCAGTCCAATTTCTTCTTGGTAATCAGGATCAATCACACCACTCAGTACAGTGACACCCTTCCTGACCTGTTAATCCAAAAGCATGAGAAGCTCAAAGTGGCCAGGGGGCATTCAAAATTTCACAGGATTATAGGGTAAAGGTATAGGTGTTACTTAATTTCAATTGTGAAGCTAAGAATTATATACAGGTGCCAGGTTGGCAAGGGGTGGATTGAGTTAGTTTATTGTGCCAACCTGGCCGATAATCACATGTGGGGCTAATTGAAAGGCAGAGGGATGAATGGGTGGTGAGCCTCGCCTTTCTAGTTCTCAGGTCTCTTGCTTTGTGATGGTCGCACCAGGGTGCAGCTGCCTTAGCAGTTCCCTGCTTCAGTTTGCAAGATTGACTTCCTACAAGACATCCCCAAGAAGCCACATGGACCTATCCGGATGCAGCCCTGGGTGCTGGAGCAGCTGTGTGGAGACCCCTGCTAGGGCTGAGCTGCTTATTCGTTCACTGACTCAGCTTTCCTCCTGCAATCGGCATCATTGCCTCTGTTTTGTGAGGTGGAGGACTTTGTGGACTGGTGTTGGGTTAATGGGTTAATGTTGGACCTGTGGGCTTGGGCAGCATTGGGTTGGGATGTTTTCGTGATGCACACTTTCTTTATATAAAACTCTCTTATACATGAGTTGCTGTGGATTTGTTTCTCTAAAATACCTAGACGAACACAGTGTGCTTCTTCCATGTGGGCTTGTTGCTTCTCTGTTGGATGGGCACTTGTTTAACTTCAAGCCTTTAAGACCCCAGGCACCATCTGCTTTCTTCACATTTGCTTATGCACCCATTTTGTCTTCAGCAATTGTGCCAGGAGGGTTAGCATCACAGAATGCCAGTTTGTTAGAACAAAGTGAAGAATTAAATTTATTACAGGGTAAATTTTAACTTTATCTGAAATAAAGTCTGTGAGAATATTCCCAGTCACAGATGGGCAGAATCACATAATTTCACAATAAAAATTATAGAATATCAAGTGAAACCTCCCATCTAATACCTGAATCCCACACGAAACAAACAATTCCAACTGTTTTCAATATCTTTTGGAAGTCAGAACTCTTCACCTCATAACAGAACTAATACAATTCTAAATGATTTCAAAATGTTCAAAGCTCAAAGATGCTTTGAGCTCAAAGATGCTAAAATCTATGTCCTTTTAACTGCTGCCCATAGCTATAGTTCTGCTTCGTAGAACTACTAAGCTATTAAATGAAAACTTGTGTGTCTCTAAGACAATTTTCATTCTCTTCTCCTATTTTAATATCCTTCTTTTACTCTGGAAATTAAAAAAAAAAGAGTTTATCACAATATACTATAAGGCATCCCTACCTAGTTTAGGTATAATAGAGGAAATTTAAAATATTATAAAAGCTAAGTTACCACCTAGTTCTCAGCTATGTAATTCCTTATATACACATTTTCTACTTCACTTTTGTTTTTACTCAAGGATTGGCAAATGGGAAGATGAGGTTTCCACAAGACTTTATTGTTATTTTTTAACATCCTTGTCTTTTGTGAAGATAATTCATGTATTTAAGACATCTTCAAACACTTAAAAGGCATTATTAGGCATTATCACTTTAATTATTTTACTAGCAAAATGATGACCATCTATCTATATCACTAAAATTCTTTCCTCTTACTTTTTTTTAAATAACACTGATGAACTAATGGAAGCAATTTCCCTTCTCTGTGAAGTCTATGAGTGTCAGTTGCACCACCAATAAAAGTTCCATTGACAAATATCCTTGGAACCTGTTGGATAAAGAATGATAGATTAGGTCTCACCCTATTGTCAGAAGTAAAAGATCACTTCACATGATAATAGGTGCTCACAGCCTGGGTATTTTCATTCAGTGAGCACCCAACTAAGCACGTTCACAATTCTCTCTAAATCTTTCCTACTCTGGAGATACACACTTTGGGGGCCTTATTTTGAAGGAAACGGACACAGGACACACAGGAACTTGCGCAAGGTCGCAGTGATAATAAAGAGCAGGGCTGGGATTCAGATCTCGGACAACCTCACTCCACAGCCTCTGCTCCTAAGCACGGGGCCACGTAATGCTCTTAGTCAACACTGAGTGGGTTCTGACTGGGACGCTGGGCGTGCCAAGAACTGCTCCATGGGGTTTTCAATGGCGTAATTTTGTTGGAAACGGATGCGCAGGTCTGTCCTCCACGGTGCCTCCAGGCGGGTTCCAGATGCTAACCTCCTGGCTGATGATGGAGTGCTTACCCATCTGTACCACCTGTACACCCTGTGCTGTAGAATCAGCCAAGAAAAATATGGTCTGTTTATGTAGATCTTCCTAATGTTTGCTTTACTATGGAGGAAGAGCACATTCTAGTAGCCTAGGTACATACAAAGAAGGAAAATATCAAAAACAGTACGTTTTTCATTACAGACTATAGAAAAATCTACCCCAAAAGCTTAAGATATGGCACACCAGTACACTTGCCTTATTCAGTTCAGTAACTGAAGACTGTCCTGGTCTATATTGTCCCAGTCAAAAACCAAAGACTACTTTCATCTTGAGAAAAGCTCTAGGAGGAATGTAGAGACCACAGACAAATGTTCACGGCCGCACCGTTTCCTCATTCCTCCCAGCCTAGACACACACAGTAAGAATAACATCCAATGAATTAACTCTGTGCATCCTTTCTAAGGAGCTGCTCCTCAGATCTGATGGTTCTTCACCAATATGAACTCCTCAGAGAGCATCCACTTGACTCTTCCTAACATGCGGACATCGGTTTTGGATGATCCATGTCTATCTATTTGGGGGAAGAGCACCACAGAGGACATACTCACAGTTCTCTCCCCGGTCATTGTGAAAAGAGCGTCTTGAAATTGGTTTCCATATTCAAGCATGTCCAATTCCACTACTTTATAGTTAATGTTCATGTCGTGGAAAAGCTTTTTTGCCATCGTACAGTAAGAACATGATGTTTTTGAGAAAATCACCACACAATTATCTGAAATCGTTTCCTGAAACAAAAACATCACTTTAGTTCGAGTCATTATCTTTTGAAAAGAAATAGCATGATCCAGTGGGAATATGGGCCTGAAAGTCTCTATCATCTTTATTTCTCATTTCAAAATATAATTGGGGATAATGTTAGGGTAAAAACAGATAGGATTTATAGGTTGCAAAGGAACAAAAACACACACACAAAAAATCTTCTGAAGCAAAATTAACTAAGTATTGCAATGAAAGGAAAAAACAAGACTAATTGCATGCTATATCCCTGAGCATTTCCCCATCCTCTAATTTAAAAGTTAATGGTTAAAACCCAGCAGTACTGTGAAAGGAAAGCCTATTCAGCTTCCACGAATATTACAGCCAAAAACGCTCTATGAAGCAGTTCTTTCTGTAACACAAGGGATCATCCGGAGGAGGCGTTGACTAGGTGTGAAAGGTTTGTTTTTTATTGCATGCTAGATTCTATATTGGAGGGGAAAGGTGGGGGAGCTGTTAAAAGCTGCCCATGCCAGAAACAGATAGTCTCGCTGGTCAAAGGCAGCTTGCCTCTGGTCAGTTGTAGACTTGAGGTAAATATGAACAGGAGCAGCCAAACTCATACACCTGAGCGGGTAGACTCCATCACAAATAAAACATGTAACTTTGGACTAGCAAACTGATCTGTAACTTTAGCTATTGAAATATACAAGGCTTTAGTAATTCATTTGGTGAGCTACTGAAATGCCAAGTTTGGATACTGAATGAGAATATTCATTATATAAGACACATTTTTTCCCGCTCATCTCCACATCACTCACTTGAATCTGGTTCACAGGAGCAGTAGCTGACTTCTCTAAAGATGATGATGTGTTACTCCCCATCCTAAAACGAATGTAAAAGAGCATTATTAAAAAAATAAACAAAAGGGCAATATAGTTTAGTAAGTGTTAAAGTTACTATCATAAGTCCCACTTGAAGAAAACAATCAGCCTTTTATATATAAGACCAATTATGTCCAAACCTATGAAACAGAAGGAAAAAGGTTTTACTGGTTATCAATATAAAATATCTTGTTTACAAGTTATTAGTCTATGAAAACAAAAAGGGTCTATGTGCTTATCTAACTAGCTTCCCAAAGCTATTACTTATTTGATAAGAATGTACTTGCTGTGTTTAAAGCCTAATTAATTCTCATTTATGGCTACTAAATTATTATGTCAAATATTATGTCCTATACCCACTGGCCAAATGACCTAACCTTTGGCTTAAAATATAATTTTCATATCCTTATTTAAAAACTCCATAAATACTCTGTGAAGTAGGAAGCATACATTTCAACAATGTATTTGGACCAAAAAAGATGAGGTGAATGGGGAAGAATTCTAGAGGTGAGAAGAGGATTTTTATTTTATTTTTTAAATCATTTTATGGGGGCTTGTACAGCTCTTACCACAATCCATGCATACATCCATTGTGTTGAGCACATTTGTACATTTGTTGCCATCATCGTTCTCAAAACATTTGCTTTCTACTTGAGCCCTTAGTGCCAGCTCATTTTTCCCCTCCCTCACTGTTCCCCCTCCCTCATGAACCCTTGATAATTTATAAATTATTACTATTTTGTCATATCTTACACTGTCCAACCTCTCTCTTCACCCACTTTTCTGTTGTCCATCTCCCAGGGAGGGGATTAAATGTAGATCCTTGTAATCGGATTCCCTGTGTTTCCAGTTCCTATGTGTACCAGTGTACATCCTCTGGTCTAGCCAGATTTGTAAAGTAGAATTGGGATCATGATAGTGAGGTGGGAGGATTTAGGAACTAGAGGAAACTTGTATGTTTCATCATTGCTACACTGCACCCTGACTGGCTCATCTCCTCCCAGCGACCCTTTTTTAAGGGCATGTCCAGTTGCCTACAGATGGGTCTTGGGTCCCCAATCTGCACTCCCCCTCATTCACATTGATTTGATTTTTTGTTCTTTGATGTCTGATACCTGATCCCTTCGACACCTCGTGATCACACAGGCTGGTGTGCTTCTTCCATGTGGGCTTTGTTGCTTCTAAGCTAGATGGTTGCTTGTTTACCTTCAAGCCTTTAAGACCCCAGATGCTATATCTTTTGATAGCCGGGGACCATCAGCTTTCTTCACCATATTTGCTTATGCATCCATTTTGTCTTCGGCAATCGTATTGGGAAGGTCAGCACACAATGGTATGATTTTTGTTCTTTGATGTATGATAACTGATCCCTTCGATACCTCATGATCACACAGGCTGGTGTGCTTCTTCCATGTGGGCTATGTTGCTTCTGAGGTAGATGGCCGCTTGTTTACCTTCAAGCCTTTAAGACTCCAGATGCTATATCTTTTGATAGCCAAGAAGAGGATTTTAAGTGGATATTTTCCTGTTAACAATGTATATCCCCACTCCCAATAACTGAGCTTTGCATAATAAATACAGAGGTACTGAATGTCCCTGAAAATAAAATGTAAATAAGAATGCGAAAATAAAGTAAGTTTTAAAAAGTAAAACATTATTCAATACTTACTATGTGTCAGGCATACCAAAAGGACATTGAAATCTACTTGCTCGAAAACAAAGGATAAATGCTATGTATAAACTTCTGAACAAAAATGATGAGAACAATTCAGACCTGTTTTGACCCTTCAGGTTCAACTAGCATGACTCATGCTAGCAAGTACAAAATGAGAACCTGGTAGTTCTTTCCCTGCTTCCAAAGGGACTACATTTCATCACCTTATAAAAGAACGAACAGTAAAGAAAAAACAATTGTATGAAGTTATCCATAAGTCAAAAAATAGCACCACACACAGGTGCCTCAAGAAGCTGTCGTCCAGTTATAACACCAAGTGATCGGCACCTTCAAGAGGGGTCTCTACGTGGAACTGTGAAGATCATCAAGAGTTCCCAGATCACGCCAGTAGGAAAAGCGAGCTGGAAGCACAGTGCTGAGTGTAGAGCTGGGAGCCAGGCCATCCGGGGCAGCCCAGGTAGGCCTTCACAGAGGGGACAGCAACACCGACAACCTGGTCATTGCTATGCTCAAAGATTTAGCCATTTCCAAGATGGAATCAACTTCACTCTCTGTAGCAAGCTTGTCTGATGGAAAAACTAAAAATGCAGGAAGCCCAGCTAATCATTTCAGATAAACAGCGAACGGTTGTTTAGCCCTTGCAATATTTGGGGCACATTTGGAATAAACAGCCATTCGTTATCTAAAATTCTAATTCAAGGGGGCCAGCTGAACATGACTCAAGTACTTTCTACCCCCAGAAAGCAGTGCCCGAACGCAGGGACCACACTGGCCACTTGGGCTGCCTCCCGATGGGCAGCGGTCGCTGTCCCCGATTCGGCTCCGGCAAAGAGGCACCGGCGCCCTGCGACAGCCTCGGCCAGGGAAACCGCGCGCCCCACCACCCCCGCCCGCCGCCCCCGTACCCAGAGGCCGCAGTCCCTGCTGTCCCGCCAAGCACTCCAGCTGAGCTGCTTTTGTTCCCGCTCCGGGCAAACAGCGTCCGCAGCCGACTCGCGCGGCGCCAAGACATGGCCAGAGCGCGGGATGCCGCGAGAGCAAGAGGCGACGGCTGCGGCGGCGAAGCCCCGCCCCCGACGCGCAGCCACTGACGCCGGGCCGCCCGCGCCGCGCGTCCCAGCCGCGTGGCCGCTCGCCTCTTCTGCGCAGGCGCGCGCCCCCTTTCAGCTGCGCGGAGTCCCAGCTGGACCAGGCTAGGACCGTCCGGGTGGCGGGCCGGTCTCCTGCCGCTCTTGAGGGCTCATACCAAGTCTGCTCCGGCTTCTTCCAGGGTCAGGGACTCTTGAAGGCTCTCCGACTAGGGGAACCGTTCGCCGGATTGTGGCTAACATTCTAGAAAAATGACCGTCCCCTGAAGGATCAAAGTGCTTGTGAATGTTTACAAGTGATAATGGCCCCATCCCCAGCCTGCTGTCAACACAGTTTTCTCTTTGGGTGAAATAACATAGTACTTCACCTTACAGTCCTATCATTGGTCGAGAGCCCTTATAAATCATGAGAATTCATCGATTTTTGTTCTCCGGGATTTAAAAAGGAATGCAATATAAAAGCTTCATTTTAAAACACACGCACAAATAATTGTGTTTTCAGAAATAAAATTAGGAAACAAAAATAATGAAACTAAAAATAGGCCAAAGATGTGTTGTCCGGGCTTTGGTAATGGGCGAGTGCTGCCAATGACATGACTTTCCAAGCCACGCAGTCAGGGTAATAATAGCCCTTTATGCGTCACTGTATAAGGTAATGTGGGTCAGCAGTTACTGAAAAGGATAATGAAATCTATTTGTTGGAAATCCTAGATTAAGTAGTGTGTATAGATTTCAAAACAACGATGAGAACAATTCAGACCTGTTTTTATCTCTCAGGCTCAATTAGCATGACTCATGTTAGCAAGGTACAAAATGAGAACCTGGTATTTCTTTCCCTACCTCCAAAAGGACTGTGTCTCATCATTTATAAAAGGATGAAAAATTCTTTAAAGAAAAATTTTAGTATGAAATTATCATAAAGCCATAAATTAAAAATAAATCAATAAATAATTCAAAATTAAAGTAAAATACACAAATCTTTGTTCTTGTTTTAATTAAAAGACTTAGGATTTTGTTTGATTATATTTTGGCTAATGTGAATACAGCAATGAGCATATGTGCATGTCTCTGTCTCTTGTTTTCAGTTCTTTTACTGGAAATGGAATCGCTTGGCCATATGGTAATTTTATGTTCAATTGTCTGAGGAATGGCACCTGCATCCTGGGCCATTCCATCCGCATTTTAAGAGGGGTACAATTGCTCCACATTCTTAACAAAAGTTTTTTCTTTTTTTTTTTTTT